CTTGTGGACTCTATAGAGGTCATAATTTTTATCCGATTTAAAAAAAAAGTATTATTATATTACCGTTACACCCAAAGGACGGCTGAGTCCGAATTTCGTGAAAATCGGCCCAAAACTGACAGACAAAATGGCCGCCCATCATTCTCAAATAGCGTAAAAATATGGTATATCAAGGTTGTGAACCCTATAGAGGTCACAATTTTTATCCGATTTTGTTGACACTTGAAATGTAAGTTTATAACCTCAAAGATCTCGGTTCCTTTCGATATTCGCGCATATCGGATCGTAACTTCCTGAAAAATCACTTTCTTTTTAGCTTGTTCTCTATCCATCTCTCGAAAATGTGGGCGTAACCTGCCTGGCAGCCACTGGTTATAATTTATATCAAATGTAATAGCGTGACTAAGCAGCACATCATTAATTCGTTATTATAAAAGATTAAGAACATAGGAAATTCCTTTCGCATACGTTTAGGCTAGATGTAAAATCAGAACAGAAGACATCTGATAAATTTTGTTTTAATTGAAATTCGGTAGCAGCACATTTATGCGCCATTTTAGAATGCTTTTAAAGACCAAATACAGTACCATGCGGAATTTCCGAGTTTTAATGCCGCTAATCATAAAAAGGGTATATTTCAGTCGGCGCAAACACACAAAAAAGACCCCTTCACTTTACTGGGTTTAAACTTTTATTTTATAGAACATAATACAGATTTCAAAAATGTGACAAAATTTTAAAAAATATTGTGACGCATTTGTAATGTTGTCTCGGATGATAACCAAGGATATATTGATGCAACAAAAGAAAATACCATCATATTTCTGTGAACATCTGGATCTGTATTGTAATATTGAATATGCGTATCTGGAAAAGCGCTGACTAAAGTTTGACATTTTCTTTTTAGACGTTTTGATTTAGTATGCATTATACCATCAATTGTTTATCGTAAAACATCCGATAAGTCTTTCGTTTATTCCAGACAAAAGGTTTCTCTGCTGTTTTTGTCGAATAATTTAATCAAAATAATGGGGGTGATTTTCTTTGGGTTAAAGATGTCTCAGATATGCCCACATGGATTTTAACTACACGAAATAAATCAATAAAATGTGTACAAAGTTGAAAGATTACCATTTTATTTCGCTTTTTTGAACATTTGGGAAATAAAATAAATTTATTTTCTTTCATATTGATGTTTGATATATTCATGATATTCTAATGAATTAACTTCATAATGGTAATTTATCACAAGTGATAAAACCATAAAGATATAATGATAAAAACTATTTCGTCACATCTTATTTTGATTGCTAAACCCATTTTTATACGCCCACATTTTCATGTGGACGTATTATGCCGTCGCCCCCGTCCGTCCGTCCGTCTGTCTGTCTGTCCACAATTGTTTGTGGACTCTCTACAGGTCACAATTCTTATCCGATTTTGACGAAACTTGAAATATAGGTTTATCCCCAAAAGATCTCGGCTGCTTTCGATATTGGCATGTATCGGATCGAAAATTCATGGATTATGGCCCCTGATTGTACAAAAAATCACGTTTTTAGCTTGTGGACCATATGGAGGTCACAATTTTTATCCAATTTTGTTGAAACTTGAAATGTAAGTTTATAACCCAAAGATCTCGGTTCCTTTCGATACGAAAAATCACGTTTTTAGCTTGTGGACCCCATAGAGGTCATAATTTTTATCGTATTTAACAAAAACGTATTATTATATCCCCGTTAAACCCTAAGGAAGGCTGAGTTCGAATTTCGTGAAAATCGGCCCAAAATTGACAGACAAAATGGCCGCCGTTCGTTCTCAAATAGCGTAAAAATATGGTATATCAAGGTTGTGGACCCTATAGAGGTCACAATTTTAATCCGATTTTGTTGAAACTTGAAATGTAAGTTTATAGCCCAAAGCTCTCGGTTCGTTTCGATATTCGCGCCTATCGGAGCGTAACTTCCTGAATTATGGCCCCTGATTGTACGAAAAATCGCGTTTTTAGCTTGTGGACCCTATAGAGGTCATAATTTTTATCCGATTTCAAAAACCGTATTATTATTATATCACCGTTACACCCTAAGGACGGCTGAGTTCGAATTTCGTGAAAATCGGCCCAAAATTGACAGACAAAATGGGCGCCGTTGGTTCTCAAATAGCGTAAAAATATGGTATATCAAGGTTGTGGACCCTATAGAGGTCACACTTTTAATCCGATTTTGTTGAAACTTGAAATGTAAGTTTATAGCCCAAAGATCTCAGTTCCTGTCGCGCATATCGGACGGTAACTTCCTGAATTATGGCCCCTGATTGTACGAAAAATCGCGTTTTTAGCTTGTGGATCCTATAGAGGTCATAATTGTTATCTGATTTTATAAACCGTATTATTATATCACCGCTACACCCTAAGGACGGTTGAGTTCGAATTTCGTGAAAATCGGCCCAAAATTGACAGACAAAATGGCCGCCGTTCGTTCTCAAATAGCGTAAAAATATGGTATATCAAGATTGTGAAAAATAGGGTTTTTAGCTTGTGGACCCTATAGAGGTCATAATTTTTATCCGATCTAAAAAACGTATTATTATATCACCGTTACACCATAAGGACGGCTGAGTTCGAATTTCGTGAAAATCGGCCCAAAATTGACAGACAAAATGGCCGCCGTTCGTTCTCAAATAGCGTAAAAATATGGTATATCAAGATTGTGAAAAATCGGGTTTTTAGCTTGTGGACCCTATAGAGGTCATAATTTTTATCCGATTTTGTTGAAACTTGAAATGTAAGTTTATAACACAAAGATCTCGGTTCCTTTCGATATTTGCGCATATCCAATTGTAATTTCCTGAATTATGGCCCTTGATTGTAGGAAAAATCACTTTCTTTTTAGCTTGTTCTCTATCCATCTCTCGAAAATGTGGGCGTATCCTGCCTGGCAGCCGCTGGTCTTTACAAGTATGGATATTCTGAACTGGTTGTATAGTGTGAAGTACAGATTAAATACGAAATGAAATGAGGTTTAACGTCCTACTGTTCTGCTCCGACCTGGGCTTATGAAGACGGGCATACGCCATACAGTGTGCTATGAGGGAAATTCTGCCCGGACAGCGGCACTATGACCTACCAACGTCAATGTGTACACGGGACCTCGGTTTTCGTACCATCCGAACGACTAAACAGCTGTCGTTGTCAGGCCCTCCGTCCTGCATCACTGACAAGGTGAACCACGCCGGAAAGTCGGAATGAACTTTCTCGGCCAATGCCCGATTAAATACCAATAAAGATTACGTATGCATGAATACTGAACCTGACCAATTGTCTCGCTGATAGTGTTTATGCTATTATTACCCTAACCCTAAAGTTGTTACGAATATCCTTTTGCCACGAAAAAAGAGATTATATCGTAAATATTGTATTTTTGAATACTAAACTCAACCTCGTAGATACATTATTTAACATAGCATGATTAACCTGTGGTTCAGAACAACCTTTTTCGAAAATAGAATAAAGATTATCCCGTACAAAATACTTTATTTATGAATACTAAACATAACCCATTATAGATACAGTATTTATGGCATATGATTCCCAGTAACCTCTTTCTAAACAACTATTATGAATTGTTCTACGCAACGGGCATCTTTCTGTATTTAAACTGTTACCTCCGTAGATTAAAAAAAATCTGGAGAGTTTAAATTTAATTAAGCACAAACAAATAATTCGTTTACTCTGCGACATAAAATTCAGTGCTGTCGATCACTATTAGAAAATACGCGTCCGATCAACCCAATTAAAGAACAGATTGATCAAAGTCAAAGAGGTCAGTTTGAACGATTAAATTTAAACACAACCCAATCAATTAGAATGCTTTCTCCCAAGCTCCACGTTTTTTGGCCGATTCCCTGTATAAGTTTATTAGCGCATATAACTCGATTGCGATGCATCTTTTTTATCCCCCCTTTTCATAATTAAGGGGACCCAATTCGTTAACAGTCGGAAATTGATTAGTCCCGTTGCTTCTTTTTCTTTCATTGTTGGTGTATAACTCTCCGTGTATCTGTGTAGAATGTCAACCGCGTACTGCACTATATAGTATGTAGACCTACAATATCACTTGAAAATATTTCATGGGGACTGAAATTCATTTATAGAACAAGTTGTGGAAAAGAGACATTATTAAAAGAACATTTGATGACTTTCACGAATGCCGAAGCTTCTCCTTTCGGTCAATACCATTCTTTAGTGATATGATGTGAACATAATATAGATGACCACCATATTCATCCACTTCATCGAAAACTCTCAATTAATCAGGGTGAAGAAGGCCCGAGACTGACGGTGATGGTTTGTTATTTTGACAACAAATTATCGGAAACATGATTAAGGAAAATAATCGGAGGCTCTCTAGATGATGAACAGTAATGGAACAGCCTACTGTTGTTTAATTTATTACTGTCAAAGCTTCCAAGTCTTCTTGCTAAATGTGACATCAGTACATTCCTTACTATCCAAATACAGTATATATAACGGTAAAGTGACAAATAAAAGTTTGCATATTTGCGTGAACTTCCTTATACGATGACACGTCATATATGTTTGAAGAATAAGCATACCATACCTCTAGTGCAAATACAAACAATCAATTGCCATGCAAAATACGCCCACATTTTGCAATAGATGGACGGAGAATTTGAGTAAATAGGGCCAGTCTCTCATTGTTCCAATGGTTCACATCAGATTAGAACAACTGTAGCCCATCGCATTCACAAACTTCGCATTCAGGTGCTCTCATAAAACATCATATTTCCTTTAACTCTTCGTCTTCGACACTGAAAAACCGGGCTGAAACAGGGAATATCCGCAATGACAAGATATGCTATTCCTAATCAATTTACAAAAGTACTATTTGAATCTTTATTTATAAAATTGCTAATATGAACATCCACAGAACACCCAAAAGATGAGTAACCATAAACATTGTAGGAAATACATGTACAATTTATAAACATAGGAGATATCAATTAGTAAGTACACACGTTATCGTTAAGACTTAATTCAGCAGAACCCATTGGTCCTAGGCTACATTTCACTATCTCTTCTTTCATGTTTCTGAAAAACCGGAAGCTTACTATTTCATTTGGAACACCATTAAGCTGAAGGTAGAGATCCACAGAGCTAATTCGTATCGTAGTTACTCGATTATTTGACATGGTCGCCCATTTATCAACTTCACCATATATCAAAACTTGGTCATTCCTGAAAGAAAATCATGTATGTGATCCTGCCATAGAAAATAATTTGGAGCAGTGCAAATTATTTTGTTTCATTATTTTCATTAGCAAATGACGAGCTACGTCGCTATTCAGGATGTGGAAATGAATCCTTCATTTGCAATTTGTTCGGCTATTGAGGGTGTATATACATTAATTAGAAACAAGGCATAGTATGAAATGAAACAAGAGTATTCATCAGTAAAGAGAATTAAATTGGACAAAGCACTGAGCCATGTCGGACTTAAGTTTAAATTCATGCCGATTTTCAATATCTTAAATATACCTTTTATCTCTCTAGCTGTCAAAAGCCAAATAATGATTGTGTACCACAAGTAATTAATGTATCAGTAAACCTCTTACCCCACAGTAATCAGAGGACTATAATAATACAAACAGAAGACTTTTGTGACACAACGGGTGGTTATCTGTAGAGGTTTGCTGTCAGAGAATTCGACAAGGTTGACATTAACATATAGATCACTACTCATTAAAGTGGTATTATTTGATGACTGAAAGTATAGGTTGATGATAACAGAATCTAAATATATAGTATAACCATCACTTGAAAAATATACGTAAAATATCTGTATAAAATATTCGCTAACAAAACGTGATGAGTGCTCGTGTTGTAAATGTGACCATACAACACGCGCTGAGGTACGAATGTCAGGCCACCGCTTAAGTATATGTAATTATTTATACTTTTATATAAAATTGTTTTGTAGATCAAACAAATGAGCTGATTCTGCTTGAAGTAACACACCTTGCCACTAATTCACAATATATGGCTTTATTAAAGATGTGATGTTTAGATAGAGAGCTGGTCGTTCTTTCTATAATAGTTTAAAAATAGATAATAAAAATGAATATATTGAAAATTTAAGTCCAATTGCTTTATTTTGAGCCAAGTTATCACTGTATGAAGTTTTTGTGAAGTACCATGGCAACGATAATAACCCAATATTCGAATTTCAATTTTAGCGTTTAACGAAGATATAGCAGACATTCAGTAATCCAAATAATATCTCAGCCATCCGATGATCTAGAGAGTTGATTACAGACTCGGCATGTGAATACATTTCTAAATAAACTTGCCAGAAAAAAAACTTGTACTAGGCATATGTTACTCTTACATATAATGCACATTTAATAATATATAGATTCTTTCACCAAATTGGTATATTTTACAATTACACAGAAAATGACTATAATACAGGATGCCATTACGAGGAAGATATTATTTCCCTTTGATGTCACATTACTAGTGGACTGAAACTAAGGGATGTCATTAATAATAATTGATCATTCATGTGTTGTACCAGATATTATGCTCAATATATAGCTTAATTGGTTAACATAACCACAGCTTCACGTCTGTATCTAATCGGACACCATAGTGATTTACAGACATAATACTTTACGTATCTTGGATATTGCATTGTTTATAATGTATTTACTATTTGTCTTTACTTAAACATGCATTATGTAAGAGCTAAATCTGCCTATTTCAGGTCTTTCTTTAGGCCTGAAATGTTATCTAAATTATTAATTAGACATTAATTAACCTATCCAGGCCATAATCAACTCTAGATGGCAGCGCTAGCCTGCGATCTTTAGTGGATTGTAAGCCGATTTACTTCATAACTTTCCTTCTCTATTAAACGATTAAATGGATAATCGAGACTATGCTGTTTATCGTACTGACTTTAGTAATGATGACCGAGGCTTATGGGAATTTCAGTCGCTTAGTTCTCGGTTCATAGTGGATCAATTTGAATGAAATTTTCACCAAAATGCCTTTACATTATCTAGTTTTTAACTATTATAGTGAGAACTGCCAACTCGTTACCGAATCTCCCATAATGTATCTTTAATGATTTAAAGAAATTTAATGGGGTAGACGATTGGTATTTTCATTCAAGCAAAATGGTGGAAGTTACTCCGGTGAACTTTCAGAGAAATTGAAGGTGCGCGCGATCAAGTGTTTTAAAGGCGGCCAGGTGTGTTTTGCTGATCGTTTTTCTACCCTTTCCAATTGCAGACCTTTGGTTCTGGTTTTGCTTGTGTCTAGAATACGGATTCTAATTCATCATTATCTATCGTTAGAACAAAGAAATAGGTAAACCACCACCTTTAAGCTACATAGACTACAGGTGCATCATACCTGTGCTCTGTGTCACATATAAGCTAGAACTAAACTTTACATTGTCATTTTGAAACTCAAACGATGCATGTCTTTTATTCAATGTCATCCACAGTTTTCGACATTGCAAACACGACTTACTGGTCAAATTAAATCATCAACATTGATGTTGTTATCTTACCGTGAACAATGGGCTTCTGGCATCCAATATGTAAGACAATTAAAATTTGTGTTCATTTCTAGGTGCCAAAGAATAACGATTTAGCTCCTTAAAAAACATATTATAGACTTTATTCTCGGTACACAATTTTCATTAATTATTTCATGATACTTACCATACCTAATCCGGTGTCTTCCAGAGCAAGAGAATAAGAGTTCTTCATGTTGGCAGCTAAGATAACTCCAAATTTATATCCAGATATATCAGTATAAGAAGAATATATATCTCCATTGGGGCCAAAGTTATTACCAAATGCCATCTGAGAATATAATGTAAAGACTAAGTATATGTTTTATTCTTTATACTGTACTAGCTGTTACCCAGAGCCATTGTAACGCCTGGGCATGCTGGCCAGTTGTCCCACAAGAGCATAAAGACCCCATGCTAATCTATGTATGTGATCCCTTGCTGTTTAAACACTGATTTTGTTGGAAATATCAATACAATAAATATATGTTTCAATGTATCGAGTGATTGTGTAGAAACGGACCCGGTCCATTGCTGTTAAGGCCCATGGTTAATCTATTAAAATCTAAAACGTGTTATCAAACTAACTCGCTTTATTTCTCGAGGGCAAGTGTTCAAAGTGAGGTGTTTCAATAACGACTTGCGGACATATTACTATGTGGACGCTCCACACACGTTCAAATTCGGATTGTTAATTTAGTGATAAAGTTATCCATTCACGTTAAGCCTTCCGATATCCTGTGTACGCGATACATTACAAAATTATGTACCAAACCCAATTGTTCAAAGTGGGGTGTTTCAATAACGACTTGCAGACATATTACTATGTGGACGGTCCACACACGTTCAAATTCGGATGGTTAATTTAGTGATAAAAGTTATCCATTCACGTTAAAGTTGCAATTTCATATTTTTAAGTTATATTTTTAAAATTTATTAAAATAAAACCCTAAAATAGATGGTATCTATTAACAGTCCTACCCTGTTAAAGAATAATCCTATTAATCCTATAATTCACTATTGCCAGTTGAGAAATTGGCAAAAATATCATTTTTATCTTCAATTCCAACGTTTGAAGATAGCTACTCCATGGTGGAGAATAGAAAACAAGGGAGGTAATTGTGTTATTATTCCCGGTGTAAATGAGTTTTAAGTGTGAGAATGATACCTATGATCGTATAATAGTGAGCTGACAACCTATTGAGCAAAAGACATAGAAATAATTATGTTTTGACTTTCTTAGAAAATATGAAATTGTAACTTTAAGCCTTCAGATATCTTGTGTAAGCGATGCATTACAAAATTATGTATAGAATTATTAAAATCCGTGGGAGTATTCTTTAGTGCACATGGAAAAACCTTGTCATTTTTTTAACATCTCAGTGAGATTTTCTCAAAAGAATATTTATACTTTAGTGTAAGAGGGAGACTGTCTGAATACTCAGAACATTTGGATTGTAATTACCGAATGATTTTTCAAAATATTATCGGCGGTACTGTTCATTTTGGCTAAGGAGGAACCACGCTGCTTTCTAAATATTCTATATTTTAAACTTAATTGAATTCAGGGATTTGATGACAGTGATTTTAAATTAAAACAAGCATCGTTGTTGCTGGTCGATGCATAGGCCACGTGTATGCGTTTACCTGTCTACGACGATTGAAAGTGATGGCATGTTCACGAATATTATGCAAACATTTTAAATCTGCCGTAATGTTGCGATGTCGAGCAAAGTAGATCGCTAAATGTTGGGAATTTCGCAGTCAAAATAAATACCACCAATTTGTCGCTTATACTATAGACAGTATAGAGGGGCTATAAGAGATGCAGACTAAGTCTAAGTCTATCTTAATACCGACTTGCCGAATAGAAGCATCCAATACTAAATATTAATTGAAAATCAGGATATATTCAAGAATTAAATCTACGGTATCAAACGATCATACCCATGGTATATTTTATGCTATAAGAGATGTAGACTCCGGCTAAGTCTATCTTAATACCGACTTGCCGAGTAGAAGCATCTAATAGTAAATATTAATTAAAAATAAGGATATATTCAAGTATTAAATCTACGGTATCAAATAGTGATGGAAATGATAGCCATGGTATATTTTATGCGAACTTGACTTGGAGCTATCGGACGCGATCAAACCTCTACTTGAAATAAACGAACCACTGTCCAAGTTACAGATCAAGTTTTGAATATAAATGTGTACAATTGATAAAACCACAAGATATTAAGAAACGCTAGACAGCAAATTATAGACTATTAACAAAATCTGTATTCAAAATAACTATAACCCTACAATTTATAGTCGTTTAAAGTGCAAATCTGTCAATTTCACAGTGGCTCATAAGCATCGATTGCTATTTTATATGTCTTTTGTGAAGAAAATTATTTGGTTGGTTCTCTTCGTGGAAGATTCTCTTACATAATAACTCGAGCAACCATCAAAAATAGCAATAAAATGGCTTCTTTTTTAAGGAGGTATACCCGATATATTTTAGTAAATGCAACAGGTTATATAAATTTTGTTCACATCGCTCTTCGGTATCTCAAAGTCATTGTCCACGAAAGGAATCATTTCGCGTTTATGTCGACCCTAAGATTACACAGTGAAATATCATATTATTGTTTACCTTGTATTTGATAACAACCAGGGAATACTCGCTGAAACGTTGCACTATTCAAGATGCAAGTAATTGTTATCCAAAAAGTTGTGTATTTGTATATTTGTATTATTTCAGTGAAATATTGCTTTAAATAACTAACCATCTATGACGGAAAAGGAGATTTAAAATTTGATCTCTGGTCATTTTACGGCAATGTTATTTTTGGGATTAGTTTACGGAATAAAGCTATCCGTTTCTAATCCTTGAAAATAGTAGTTGGTTTAGTCGATATCAGGATATCATTAACGTTTTGTGATATAAGATTGCAACCAATTCCTAAGTGTAAATGGTGACGGCGGAAACTACGGATTTATCATGTCAGACTCTCTGGTGGAGCAGCCAGCGACAACCCCAAAGTGAAATCCTAATTGGAATTGTATAGACATCAGTAATTTTTTGAAATTTTTGTGGTTAAAACTCCAATTGTTTCTAGATTAAACGTAAATCCGGAGAATTAAACATATTATCTATTATTCCTTGCTTATTTTTAACCCTAAGAAACCAGAGTGGGTAAATTCCCAACTCATCAGATATAGACTTAATTCCGGAGCAACTCCATGTTGTTGTTTTTTTTTAGATCGACCACCAATTGTATATATCGGTACCCACGGATGATGGTTATCTGTGGTGCTGTTCTCTTGCACTTCATTGTCAGGTAAAATAGCGAAATTTTGAGGGAAAAATAAAGGTAATGTCTATACAAAGCTTTCCGCAATGGACGATTATTCGTTAGCAGATATATATATATTACCTGTTGGATTTGTTTATTTATAGCTGTAAAAGGAACGGATGGTTTTAGTATCAAACCGTCTGCATTACAGCATCTGAAAGAAACCCAGACTGGGACTGTAACATACGTGACTGTTTGGTAGGATTATGAGAATAGATTGTAGAAGGTGTTTATTGCCCGTAGAGAAAATGGTTTGTTATCATCCACGTCTGGCAAAAGATAAAGAGAGGATGTTCTACAACAGTACCCAAGCATTACCACTCTGCGGCTCGACGACATACGGCTAGATGAGTTCGACTCATTACCTTGGCCAGCATGTTCTCCGGACATAAATCTAACTGAACTCATCTGGGATCACCTTGATCTGCACCCGAAGCAACGGACACCTCCTCCCACACACAGGAAGCATCTTCAAGGGGTTCTATTGCAAGAATGTGTCCAAATGGAGTAATGATTTTGGCATGTATTGGTGCACACGGCGGTTACACACGACGGTATAAATGGCATATCTAAAAAAAAATGATTAGAATGTCGAAATCCTGACTGTTAGTTCTATCACCCAAGTTAATGTTCATCGGACTATTGTTAATGTTTTGATGATGATCCATACATCAGAAAATGGTTCTCCTCATTAAAATACAGGATGTCAACTTTCTTTTAATCGACAGTTTAGATAAATCCTTTCTGCTTCTTTTTCCCTCATTTTTCATGTCGAATTAAGAATTAGAGAAAGGTATTGGTATTTTGATTAAATGCAAGGTTTTGGTTAAAGGCAGGGGCATCAGGTAAAAGGACCCCATTTCGGAATTCTCTATTGAAAATTAACTTATACTTTTGGTCGCTGAACACAGTGATCCAGTTGGTATTCTCATATGAATAAGAAGTACCAACTACACATGTTTTCCCACAAATGTTGACTGTGTGCAGTGACCTTTGATATACTATATTACCTCATCAGAAGACTGGCGTTAGTTTTCCCAATTTCGTCACTTGGTCCAACAGGTCCTGTACTCATGGTTGCGATCAACGCCTGTAGTGCTCCGTTAGGTTCTGTACCATCTAAAGGGAGAAACATGATGTTACGCTGATCGTGCAAAGGGGGGTAACTCCATTCCCCATCTCTAAATATTTTATAAATAAAGACCACCAGCACGAAAATAGAAAAGCAATCCGTCTTCATCATCCCGGTTGGTGAAAATAAGTAGAACGTTAAACCCGATTTCATTTGTTGGATTACTGTATGTTTGGATTATCGTCACAATATTATGTGCCCACATTCCCTGGCCGTGCATCAATCTACCGATTCAAAGCAGATTTTATGGGTGTTTTCAATCTTGCTAGGATTGTTATTGTCCCTGTTTACAGAGTTTTTTTTAGATTTATTCGGCTCTCACTGTTTTCTCATATTGTGAAACCCTATCGAAATTAATGGTTCTGCATAAATATTACACGCCATATTTCCGAGCACCGAATAATTTGATTCTGGTTAGATTTATTAATTCACGAAGCTGGGGGTGGGTTGATTGTCATTGCATGGTAACATGGTGTTTGAAATTTGCTTGAATAATCTCGTGGACAATTGTATTTTTAAAATAAATATTACTCACTATAAGTATTACCAGGTTCATCGTGTGTTGTCCAAAAGTTATCTTTAAATGGGGCTATTCCCATGGCTTCAGCAAATATTGAACTATACCCTATTCGCCAATGATCTGACCCAGGTGTGTTGTCCTGCATTACTCTTGCCTACATGATATAATTATATCAGAACGATATTGTCAAATAGTCATCTTGAAATATGTTTATATCGGTCAGGATATAAAATTTCGTTTTCGGATTAGATGACTGGTTAATGTCATCTCACTTTTGACTCGAATATTAAATGGTGATCAACGGTAGACGTTATTGGGTTAAAACTGATTACTACACATAGCAATGACGCGTCCTCGTTACTTTAACATTAGTGTTAACAAAGTCGGCCAATTCACATAACAAATGGTAGTTTCTAGTTAAAAGTATAATAATGTACGTCTGTGGATTGCTACGCAATCTGAAATGATCGCTACACGGTTCGGACTCCATCTCACAATAATATATGCAAAACCTTACCTGGGTTACAACGGGTATTTCTAAAGCTGTCAGTAGATGTTTAGAATAATCCATACAATACTGAATAGTCAAACCATTCTTTCTAGCAGCATTTCCCATTTCCATCATCCATGTTTTGGCAGAATAAACATCGGATATACTCTGGTTTATGTAATCTGTATTATCATTCATGTAGTCCTAAATGTTGTAATACCAGTTAAAATGAAACAATGATCATTAAATTTGTAACAAAATTGGCTGCACAAAGAGCAACTTGACAGACAAAAGATAATTTTAGTGCATAAATGGGGTGGCTTCAATTTGAAAGAAAATTGAAGCATATGTTAGTCTCGAAATGAGCTAGTTTGTGTCGAGTGGACGTTAAACCCCATCTAGTGACAGTCAAATAATTTTTTTTATACATTTTCAGATACCCTCTCATATGACAACTTTTTCTTTTCAACGGAATTATCAGCGAGCAAAATTCGCCCGTTTATCTGTTATCGCTCATTACTTCAATCAGTTATACATGTATTTTTTGCGTCACTTTCGTTTCTTCAAATTTTCGTTAAGCATCTATCGTAGCAACGATCTCTGTGTTGAAAGTATATTTGGAATGTGTTTAACCAGTTCTATCACATATGCGATATTGTCCTTGAAATCCCGGTATTTTGTGCGATCTTAAAACTCTTGAAAATTGGGAACTAGGCCTAGACCTTTACGGGGGATGTCCGTTTATATTCCTAGTCGATACATGGATGTCAAGATATTAGACCAGTCAATCTAGCTCATTTTAGGACTTGACCCATCACAAATTGCGAAAAAACGATTCAACATATATTCATTTGGGAATGACCATTTAAACACCATATTAAAAATCTCAATGAATAGGGTTCCATTATGCCAATTAGTAGCTAAATAACGGGAAAACAATGAGTTTTGTCTACTAATTAGCGCAATGTTACCATATTGCATCAAATCTGTACTTACCTGTTCATACACAACTAAACCCCATGTTTTACTATACTTGAATAAATCATTCCAGAATCTCTGAAAATCAACATTGAATGTTTTACTTAATGTATAATACATGCCAACAGCGGGGTTATTATAATGGTGATAATAAATATGGTCTAAAAGCCTGTAGGCAAGTCATTTTATTTTGTCAACCTCCCCGACACCATTACGCTATATGTCAATTCAGGGTTAGTAACTCTGTTATGATAAGCATTAAACACATACTTCTTCAAATGGCAGTGCTTTTCCATCAGGGTCCAGAATAAAATTATAATTGCCGCCATTTTGTTTAGCATAGGTTGTTTGGTTTGACCTGAAAATTCAATAATTCTAAATGCAGAATACAATCAAATATAAAATCAGATTGCGTTTAATAATGTTAATTAATTATACAATCACAATAAAAAACAAGGTAGGGACTGGGCCCCCAATTTATACTATAAATAAAGAGGGGATTGGTTTAAAATAATAATGTTTACATTATGTTTAGCATTACGATCGGTATTTTTGTAGTGGCATTTTACTACGAAGTTAAAGAAACTCGTTATCATATTAGACAGACCTTGCAACTGAAACGGTATCTTACCAATACATATTGTGAGCAAGAACTGGCCACTGAGTATTTTCATACACTTTTCTGCAAAAAAAATGATAAAATAACATATATTTAGCACATGCATAATTAAATTCTCGCCCAATACCCATCGCAAAAGACTGAATATGCGTTAGAAAGGGTATTCCTAAAGAACTTTAGAGGGCGCGGCAACCTAGCTTATCTTCAGATTTGACCTACAGTTAATAGACATCTACACAAACGTGGATAAGTTTATAAAGATGACATTTGTCATGCCACGGCAAGTACAAGGATCAGTCACACTGTGGGGAATGATCAAAGAAGTAGACAGAATTCATAGTTTCAATTCATAACACAAAATCTGAACGGTCGTTCTATAAATCAAAATAATCTAGTCACACATACCGCATTCCCGAAGGAAAGACGGAAGCAAGTGAATCCCAGTGAATTGTTCCAGTTCCACCACCCGCTGAACCATTAGCACGCAAATAAAACCAGGCATCATACTGAACATATCTGAAATAGACATTTAGAAATAGTCAGAACAAGTTTATTATATTTCCTGTGTAATTTCCGAAACTTCTACGTACATTGTTTCAGACGGACGAAACAGTGTTTATACATTCGTTCATATCGTTTATATGATTTTTTTTTTACATCTTATAATTATCTACCAAATGAGTGTGGATAATATCCCATGGAACATGGACGAAGAATTTGAGGAATACGCTGCAGAACAACCCAAGGTTTAACAGGTCGTCTATTAGATATAAAGAGAGGCTTTACGTATCGTGATCACAAAACCTAAGTGCCGAAATTCCTGTGCATTGTCAAATAGCTTGCACGTAAAAGATCCCTTGACAGTTGGAATTCGATATAAGAGTAGAACATGGCGCCGCTGTCCGGGCAAAATTTCCTTCGATAGCACACTGTATCGCATACGCCCGTCTTCATTGGCCCAGTCGGAGCAGGGCAGTGGGAAGTTCAAACCATATTTCATTTCATTTTTTTTAAATGGATCGCTTTCATATTTGGCTTGAAGTATTGGGTCTATCGATATTCATAATCCACAGCCATCCGTTTCTGGGTTACCCCCCTTTGCCTAAAATCGTGTGAACGCGGTACAGACTATAGGTTTTAACAGGTGGTTTTTTGTTGTTTTTTTTTTTTTGGGGGGGGGGGGGTAAATCTGGTTGGAAGCAAAGAGGTCATAAGAGGATGCACCCTAGAGCTTAGATTGCTTCAAGGATCCTATTATCAAATTTGCTAAACATCCAAGATTTCCATTCGCATAATCTGTAGTTGAGACGAAGCTGCTGTGTGGGCGTATCCCACACTCATGGCTATATTTTAAATAATTTTTAAAACGAATACATGATAAATATTACTGGAAACAGTTAGTTGATATTCCAACCCCATAAACATGTACATACCTCCGAATTAACCATTGCTTCGCCACCTGAGGTAACAGTTTGAAGGTATTGAGCATAATAGTTTCGATTTATTGTTTATTTCGATTTAATCTGTTTTTATTAAATTTATAGTTAATTTTAAAAAAAATTAATATTGAATCTAGCTGGTTTGCGTAGGTATAGTTCGTGATCTGATCTCGCTTACGAAATCGTACTTGGTGTGAACTAGAGATCCTAATATGCGGGGGATATAAGCATGGGCTTATTCGTACTCTCTTAGTTACTGTGCAGACAAACGGCTATTTTTGTCGTTAAAAATGGCTATAAAAGTAAGGCATTTAAATAATGTCAATATACATATATATGTATTCAAGATAGGGAAACTATTTTAAATGATCAAATACCGGTACGTTGTGTAGGAATCCACGTACACAATCATGTAGTAGTCGACTACATGAGTACAGTTGGTACTGAAGTTAAACTATATATTTAAGACATTATTAATTGGGGATATTTAATCAATTCAGCAATATTAATAAATGAACCATCAACATGACAGCTTCTGCATCTGGAATATCCTTCACATCTCCGTTTTATTGATTAATTTGCGGGAAATTTCTAGAAAACTCACAGCAAGAATTCGAGATACGAATACCGTTTTTACGTTATTGTAAAGCCTCACTAACGACAAGATAATGAGAAATCCTTGTTATTTACCTGTAAGGAATGTCTTGTTTGGTAGCCATACTTTGTAAATCATATATTGTCTGTTCATAAGTATCGTCTCCCTCGGTTTTAAAGTAGTAATAAGCACCTGAAGAAAGACAACAGTAAGGCCAAGATTCCGGGTGTACGTAATACGCAATACACTATCTCTGGAAACGGAGCACTCATCGTATATGTATTGCGCCAGGGGAAATCCCCACGATATGTGTGTGATGAGATGGGGGTCCTTGCGGCGATAAATATTTTAGCGCAGTATGCTAAACATGTTGATGGGACACAATAGGAGTGCACACCCTATTACATGCAATCGGGAACACAGATAGGAAAGCCGATTTAAATTAACTTATCAGAGTGAGATGTCAAAAGGCGTACATGATCAAATTGTCAATGCGCCAGTTTCGGTCCATATTGTCGCTTTTGGTGCGAACGATGATTCGAAGTAGACTGGAGGTACAGTGCGGGGGTGTCCATAAAATATCTCGAAAACGCCCCATCGGCGGACTGATTACCACTTGACATCGTATTGTCTACGTAGAAAATACTGTAGAAAAGTTGGGTCTGGTTTTGTGCCCATTTGAGGGACACCCCGCGCACTGAGTCTCCAGACTACAGTGGTTGTGTTCGCGCTCAGTATAAATGAACCTTAAGATTGGAATCCAGTATACCAATCTGACAATATCATACAACAGAAATATCAGATTTTATGTAAGCATATTACCATTATCAGTCCAATATCCAAGATAATTAATCGTCATATCCGATTTTCTATAGTACGGATCTTTGCCATAAAAATCTCTCATAATATTTCCCCATTCCTGAAAGGCCTGCAATACACAGTTAAAATTTATTCTAAAAATTTCAAAGGTTGAATAGTTTTATTTGGATGTGTGAAGGTAAACGGAACAGAACATAGGGTATATCACGCCAAATACAGATCTCAACTACCAAATGTCTTTTCCGAAAAAAAGCCTTTCTGAGATAATTTAATGACCTACCTGATTAATCCCGTTGGGACTGTAGAAGATCATATATTGAGACATGAAATCTTCCGGAATTTCCATAACCCCACCCATAATTCCCCAATCCAGAGTTTCGGGATTCGATGTGTTGTTCAGTTGGTTCGATGCTGACATGAATTCACTAAAGGGCGCGATGATCACAACGTTGTCTTTCTTGTCAAAGAAGGCAATCGGTCCACCAGCCGTACCTGTTGTCATGTGAACCTTTCCCGGAGCCCACCTAAAATAATAAAGATACGTTTTTGGATGATAATTAATGATAACTAAATTGTTAAATCGACACTAACCCGATCCTTATAGACCATTTACAAGGCCAACACATTGTAATTTCGTTTTTTCATATTGTTATGGGCAATTCACGTAAGGGTGTTCATATCTATGAAAATATTTTGCTTCCAACTATAATTTGTCAAATACCTAGAATTTGTGTAATGTGCTTTTTGCCAAACTAAAGCCAGACAAGTAGAAACAGATTAGAAATTCAGATCATCTACACACCTACTAGTCCTAGACTCATTTAAACCGACATAACATTTTTACTAAAATTAGTAAAACCCCAATACTCGGACCATAATCCACCGTGTCTTGTACTGTTCACATAAATCAATGTAATAAATTCTTGATTGATCACATGTAAATCATTATTGTTAACTGTGAATTCTTGCTGAATTTAATATCCTAATCCATTTTAGTGGATTCGATCCCTTTGTCTTTGGTGAAAACTAATTTAGTTGTTCAGTGATAACACAGTTATTTTGTTTTAGGTGTGATCATTTTCAGCATTAACACACAATGTTAATGGCGCCAGCCTGATAGGACAGTTTTCTTCCGCCATGCTTAGATTGTACGAATTGAATTGCCATGACCGAAATAATTCCGCACTGAATCCGCATACATAATGTAGTTCTTATTTGTATTTAAATGGGGATCACGTGGCTAAGTGGGTAAGACTCTGGCTCGCTAGCCTGGAGGTCTGGTGTTCGATCCCTGCATTGGCCAAGAAAGTTCATCCAGATTTTCCGGCGTGGTTCCCCCTTGTCAGTGATGCAGGACGGATGGTCTGACAAGGACAGCTGTCTAGTCCTTCGGATCAGACGAAAAACCGAGGTCCCGTGTATATATTGGAATTCACGTAAAAGATCCCCTGGCAGTTGGAATTCGATATAAGAGTAGGCGAGAGTGCCGCTGCCCGTGCAAAATTTCCCGCATAGCACACTGTATGGCGTATGCCCGTCTTCATTAGCCCAGTATAGGAGCAGAACAGTAGGGCGTTAAACCCCATTTCATTTCATTTCATTTTTGTATTTAAATGTTAGACTCTTCGTTTTTTTATTTCTATTAAAAACACATTATTCAATATTGCTGAAATCAAAGGGTTCTTACGTTCCAAAATTTATATTGTTACTTCCAGACATGATTCCACCGTAAGCCATATATCCTATTTCACCTTGCATTGTATCATCAATGACAAATCCTGGAAATGCTGAGACAAGTAAGTCTTTGTTTCCAGCTGATGTTCCGGAAGTTTTATTGAGGAAATGCTGCAAAGAAAGTAAACATACATTTACGTGTAACCCTAATCCGTAACATACCTATTATCTAGAAGCAGTAAAATAGCGTAAGATTCCTGGGCAATCATACAAACTGTAATTGTATAATGCTGTCAAAGGTTCGATTTGTTGGCATCGGCCGATTCACATTTCCCTATTCTATCAAGCTGTTTTGGACGATGGTTATGCCGTTATGTCAAGGAATAATAATGCCCCCAAATCTACTTTAGCTGTCTACGGTACAATTAATACTGCCGCTGTCGATCCACATCTATAGAAGACTTGTATGAACAGGACTGCAGGGATTGAGATCAAATTACCTGAAAACCTATGAGATCCAGGTTTGTCTTTTGTAAAAGTAAGATCGCTGTCAAACAGAATTTTAAAGATTTTACAGTCACCATTAATGACTTACCTGTTGTAAAATAAGGTAGTTCTTTTGATCGTAAACCTTGAACCCAAGAGCTACTACATTATCATCTACTCCTAAATACCATGTAGCTGTTTCAAAATCTCCCAACCTATCAGTACCTTGATGAGGTGTATCTAACAACCCTTTTAGTTCTCCTCTGGCTGAAGAATATTCTTTCCAATCTTTTCTGAATCTTAGGGGTGAATTTTTAAACCAGATGACATCGTTGACAGTCATGTTATAAATTTGATCATCAAACCAATGATTGATCCTCACAGGACCAGGTGTAACTCCATGACTCACCGCAGCTGGAAGTTATTTGTGGACTTTAATCAGAAGCATATATTGGTGATTGGCACAACTCATTATTTTTGTTTTAATCCATTGGGGGGCGTACTCGGGCTAACATGAAAGTTGCAGTTGCAAAATGGTGTCTCGATATATGAAACACGGTAAATAGATGAGCGTTATTGAAAGGTTAATGCAATATCCGTATATGATACGCATCAATATGTTAAGAGGATGTATATTTGCTTACGATATATATTCAATTAATTTAGCCGTTTTCCCTGAACATTAGATATAAATAATTGAGTTGTCGTTACATGACAAAACTTCTCTTTCTAGGATAATGATCGGTCCATGTTACAAGAGAGAGAGGGCAGTGGGCTTTAACGTCCACTCCACAGAAACTGTGTCATTTCGAGACTAGCACATGGTTCAATTTCATTTCAATTATACGCTTGTGCGTAGGGGTCTTTAGCTGTGGAAGGAAAACGGGGGATTCGAATAAAACCCACGAGGCATGAGGTTGGACCCTCCTTCTTTTCACGTCCGACCCTCCTTCTTTTCACGTAGAAGCGTAGGATTGAACCCACGTCACTTGACTAAATTGCAGAACAGGTTTGACCCCCCCCCCCACCCCAAAGAAACATGTTAGACCCCCACCCCACCCAAAGAAACACGTTCTAGTAATTCAACAGCTAAATGTGTGTATAATATAATTTGACGAAAACACAGCAGAATAAAAAAAATGAAAATTGTGTGCTTTAAAGAATACTTACTAATTAGAACCACCACGAGAGGGATCGTTTTTAACCAACAATACATTTTAGTAATCTGTCGACTAATAAACTATATATCACAATCAGTATCAATGTGTTATTACATATACATTATCTAATCGTTACCAAGGTCATGCAGTGTTCTATATGATAAAGAATTCGTTATTGCTTTAGTGTTAAACTATTTACAGGCGAAACACCTTCTATGTAAATAGCATAAACAACGATATTCTGCATCTTAAAGCTACAATTTCATATTTTTAAGTTATATTTTTAAAATTTATTAAAATAAAGCCTTAAAATAGATGGTATCCATAACCCGTCCTACCTTGTTAAAGAATAATCCTATTAAGCCTATAATTCACTTTTGCCAGCTGAGAAATTGGCAAAAGTATCATTTTCAACTTCAAATTCCAACGTTTGAAGGTAGCTAATGCATGGAGGCAATAGGAAAACAAGGGAGGTAATTTTGTTATTATTTCCTGTTTCAATGATTTTTAAGGGTGGGAAATAATAGTGAGTTGATAACCTATTGAGCCAAGGACATAGAAATAATTATGTTTTGACTTTCTTAGAAAATATGAAATTATCGCTTTAACATCCATTTAGTATATCTTTTTATTGTTGTGCAGGTTACTATACTATATCCAATAGACCAAGTCAATGTGCCCACATAGGTTTATAAATGGACATTTTTGACAAAAAAAACAAGCTGACAAATGGAATCTTGTAAGAGAAGACACAGACCTAGACGAAATGAATGCAAAGAAGGAGAAACCAAACGAAGTGGAGGTGGGCGGGGGCTCATTATAATCGTTGTACACACGCTTATCATACTCTTGGACATCTTTATTTTTTTATATAGGTCATTTTGATATTGATGAAAATATTTTGGACTGACAACATGGCCCCACTATTAGTAGGTACATGCATTGTGCTAATTTGCATTAACGGGTCTGTGTAGGTCTCATTTTATCATCAAGGAACGAGGAAGTCAGACCCACATACTAATGGCCTTATCCGGTTTACACTGAATAGGGACTGATAATTAAGGAGGGACATTAGAGTTCTAAACTTCTTTCGCGTTTGCGTGGACGTTTAACTTAATTTATCATTTGAATATATAAATGTTTCGAATTTTATTAAGATGGTTGTCTTAGTTTTATTTCCAAATCAAATATTAATTCACCACCATTCACTAATTGATAATGTAGGAGGCGAACAATAGATGTCAGGTTCCGGTTTGTGTTAGAGCGTCACTTTATGTCGAGAATTCAAGCAGTAAGTACATTAAATCTTGTAATAGTGCTGATTAGTCCACTCGTTCATGGGGGGTTGGATGACCGAATGGTTAGCTGGTGCGCGCTGTATCATAAAACCTGTCGTTGAGTCAACTGGCGTGGTTTCGAATAGGGTTGCCTGCCCAACCTCACGGGTTTTCTCCGGGTCCTCTGGTTTCCTCCCACCGCTAAAGAGCCCTACGCGCAAGCGAATTATTGAAAAAAAAAATAAACCATATGTTAGTCCCGAAATGACCTAGTCTGTGTCGAGTGGACGTTAAACCCCATTTCTCTCTCTCCACTCGTTCACTACAATAATATAAACCGAGAAAACTGTGTCATATGTCTTGCGGTAACATCCCTTAACACGATGTTGATTCAAATATAGATTTGTGTGCACATCAGACTTTCTAGAGCTTTAATTCAAGAATTTCTGCTCATTTTTCTGGCCCATGAAAAGTTTCGGTTTCTGTTTTAATTGTATAACATATTGAAACATTCATCATTTATAATAAAATACTATTTTTCAAAAGCAAACATAATATGCGTGATAGATTGGAATAAAATTGGGAATACCACTTAACACGTGTACAATGTCTTTTAAAATTGAAATTGCTATATTATTTGAAAATATGAAGATATACCACACCTTATATTAGTTCACACATTTATGATTGTATTTTTTAATTTGAAATTAAAAGTAGATATTGTTTTAATATTATTGGAAAATATGAAACCGAGTTCACCATTCTTCTGTCGATTTTTTCAAACGACGATCCCCGCAAAGGCCCGATCACACTTAATCGGAATCAGCAGGAACATGAATAATTTCCGGCAGTAATCGAGATACAGTCCAGTTCATTCGGAATATTCTGGCAGCATTAGATTCTCACTGAGATGTCATCAGATTGTTTCGAATTCTGTTGGAATGTCGTAAGAATATTTATAATGCAGTCAGATTGCACTTAGAATACACTTCGAATTGCTACGATATTTTTCTATCTCGAATACACCTGGAAAGTTGAGCGAAACATTCGGGCCTGCCACAATAATGGGGCCCGACTATTTAGAATGTAGTCAGAATTTTTAGAATTCTTTTCGAATATCCAGGAATATATAAAGAATTTTCATTCCAACAACATTCCGCCTCTAGGGTGACTAGGGTTTTAGGATGATACAGGAGCTCAATCCTTTAACTCTTAACCATGGACACCGACGCACAGGGCTGACACGAAGAATACCCACAAAGACAAGATGTGCCATCCCTTATCAATTTACAAAATTGCCATTTAAATCTTTATACATAAATTTGCTAAAAAGAAACATCTACAAAAAATCAAAGATGAGTAACCATGCAAACTATAGCAAATTTTCGTTTATAAACATAGAGGATAGTAATTAGTATTAAGTATACACGTTATTTTTAAGACTTAATTCTGCAGCATCAGTTGGTTCTGGCTACATTTTACTATCTCTTTTTTATGTTCCTGGAAAACCAGACGCTTACAGATTTACGGAAGAGTAATAGGGCCAAATGAAAAAAGGAAAAAAAAATAATGTCCTAATTAGGAGTTACTTAGTCATAAATAGGACTTATTATTATAGGGTCGAATAAATTTTAAAGCATTTCCTAATTAAGTTCTATTAGTATCTCATGATAAGTATCTCCTAATGTGGACGTATTATTCGTGGCTCTGTCCGCCCGTCCACCCACCGTCTTTCCGTTAACAATGTGCTTGTGAGAGCGATTGTTTTGGTTTTTTTTTTCAATTTGGTGTGAGCGAAGGGGATGGACCCCTATCGATGTCCCCCACCCCTACCCCCACGCCGCAGAGTTTGTAAACGCAGTAGATGCTACCGATTTTAGGTGATTTTTCTTTAAATTTAAGAGTTGGGGTCATGAGAGGGAGAGCCCTATCGACATTCAGCGTTCCGCTTATTTCCGTCCTGGAGTTACACCCGTTGTCGTAAACGGATTATTTTTCAAATTTAAGGTTAATCACATTTGCCGAACAGCCGATTTTCTTTTTTCAAATTTAATTTATTGGGGTTATGTATTCCGCATCGCACACCCCTTTGTTGAAAACATATTTAACGCGATAGAGACTACAGTTACAGTTTTAAATGAATTGTTTTTTTTTCTATCGATGTAAACCGTTACACCTCAACCTTTTGCGAAGACCCCGTGAACGCGATAGAGGCTACATGTCTGTGAAGTATTGGGCTCATGAG